GTCCATAAATTATATTGTTTTCAGAGAACATTTGGAGACTGGGAACTTTGGGAAATAACCAGTCAAACATATCAGACCATAATGTTTCAACATACAGGCATTGAAAGAATAAATATTCTGTTGTTTCAGCAGCATCACAAAAAAAACACAATTATTTGTTTCAACACCAAATCTCTGATGAACAAAATAATTAGATGGATATATTCCATTTAAAGTTTTAAAGYGGATTTCTTTGGCTCTTGGTGCAATTGGAAATTTGAGGTATTTAGTACGTAATTTATTGATTGATTGTGGTGGAAAATTTTATCTATAAGTTTTTTTTTTAACAGGCAAATCCAACTGAGATCGCAGATCTTTGTTTGCAAGGGCAGCCTGGGCCTGAAGGCAACCTAATGCACATAATTTTGTGTCATTTTTGTATCATTACACAGGCTGWAATTGCGAGTTGTTTTGTTGTAAAGACAACTTTCACATCAGCCCAGCAGGCGGTTACTGATCCTGCTGATAAACTTTATCGGTCCTGAATGATACAGAAGGGGAAAAAATGTAAAAAGAATCAAAAGTGAGAAAATGGAGCTAAATAGTTGGTGAGTTTAGCGTCGTWTTGATTTTTCTCCACTAATGGGGGTTGGGCTTACTTCACTTCCGTTTCCTCTTCGTCACGCAGCCAATCAGAATCGATTGGGTTTACAAAGCAGAGAAATGAACCCGCTGGTACCAGATAACGCAAAGAATCGTTCTTTCTGCTTCTCGTAAAACCGTCTGAACGSACCGGATTTCACCTCCGGGTCAGAMCAACATGAGCCAGCTGCGGATGTTCGCCTCCACAGTGTGTTTACAAATTGCGCAGATCTCGKTAGCTAACGTTAGCCGCTGTCTGTGGTCCGCCTCGGCTGCATCCCTGAAGGAACAGGCTGTTTGAATAAGCTAAAGGTAAAAACTGCAAATCCTCTTTTAATTCATACCTGCTCACATCGGTGCTGTGAACTGGTTCGGTGTGCAGAGTTAGTGATGGTGGGGCAAGAAAAGCAACTGATGCGAGGTTCCTTTTTGCTAACTTRCAGTTTTTAAAGGCAACATTAACACCAGATGGTCTAAAAAATATTGATATGAAAGCATGAAAATGAAGATTAGGATTTGTCTTTATTTTTGTCTTTTTTAKTCATGCTTTAAAAAATTTGTTGCATTTTCTATTATTATAAAATAGAATGTGTTTTATTGCTGTTAATATTTTTTATTTGATAYATTTGCACATGCAAACAGTATAAAAACCACAAGACAAATTAATAAGCAGCTGTGCAGGAGAGGTTAAGAAGACCCTAGATTCTTATCCAACCAGTCATGCAAGAATAAAATAAAGTCAAATAAGAAGTACATGCCATTTGCTATTAACAACATTTTTAAACCTTACATTCATTGTGTTTCTCCCCAGACTCTGCACCATGAATCTTTTCCGCCTGGTGTGCCGCCATAAGACAGCTCTGGTCATTGGCACTGTGTGCAGTTTTGCAGCGGTCCTTGTCTTCTTGGCCAAATGTACATCCGAAACCCTGAAACAGGGTCACCAGGAYCCTCCGGGCTTAGCCCCCCACACCAAGGATTTGCACTTCCGTCCAGACCARCAGCATCCCGTCCCCGTGCCCAAAGAGTTGTCGGCTTTTCTCGTGGTCCTCATCACAACGGGACCCAAGTACACCGAACGCAGGAGCATCATCCGCAGCACCTGGCTCGCCAAGCGGGACTCGGATGTTCTGGCCCTGTTTGTGGTTGGAACTCAAGGTCTCCCCAGCGAGGACCTTCAAAACTTGAACACGGAGCAAGGGCGACACAAGGACTTGCTCTTACTGCCTGATTTGAGAGATTCTTACGAGAACTTGACACTGAAGCTGCTACATATGTACTCCTGGCTGGACCAGAATGTGGACTTCAAGTTTGTCTTCAAAGCGGACGATGACACGTTTGTTCGCTTGGACCTCCTCAAGGAGGAGCTGAAGGGGAAGGAGCCCAGCAGGTTGTACTGGGGCTTCTTCTCGGGAAGAGGCCGTGTAAAAACCGCCGGCAAGTGGCGCGAAAGCTCCTGGGAACTCTGCGACTACTACCTGCCRTACGCGCTAGGCGGCGGCTACGTCCTCTCGGCCGACCTGGTGCGCTACGTGCATCTGAACGCGGGCTACTTCAAGACGTGGCAGAGCGAGGACGTGTCCCTAGGTGCCTGGCTGGCACCGGTGGATGTCCGGCGGACGCACGACCCTCGCTTCGACACGGAGTACAAATCGCGTGGCTGCAACAACAAGTACTTGGTGACGCACAAGCAGAGCCTGGAGGACATGTTGGAGAAGCACCAGACTCTGCAGCGTGACGGCAGGCTCTGTAAGGAGGAGGTCAAGCTGCGGTTGTCTTATATTTATGACTGGAGTGTACCGCCATCTCAGTGCTGCCAAAGAAAAGATGGGATTCCATAACTGCTGTCTTTGCCACAAAGGTCCATCTTGTTTTAGGATTAGATGCATTTCCATTCAAGTCAGTGAGATTTTTCTTTGAGTCCATACCTTTGCCTCTTTGTACGCCACCTAGCACTTAGCGGGTACCAATTTGTACTCTTGCTTACCATTGGGTAGTCATGTATTTTTGTGTGAGTCAGTGAAGGCTGAGCTTCGAGCCAAAGGTCAGAGGTGAAGGTTAGGTTTGGACGTCGGTGCTAGGTCATGGTTAGGGGCTTCAGATTGTGTAAATCGCCCTTAACCTATAAACTAAAGAAGGTACTAAAGTAATACTCCAGCGTATTAGATATCAACTTGACAGGCCAAGGCAATTTTCCCATGGAAGAGGGTATTGTGTTGTATCAACAAAATTATGGGTTTGTATTTACCAAAATTGCCAAATTCCACCAAATTTGCATTCGTTCCAATGGTTCCCAAACTTTTCAGCTTTTGACCCACAAAAGAACAGCAGAGACTTGTGCCCCCAACTCTTTCTGTGTTATAAACATGGGATCAGGTCAAATAGTAACAATATTAATTATACTAGTAACTATCCCCACTCTTTTGTATCAACTAAGGCAAGAAATTGTTGCTCAAAATCATTTTTAAATGTAATTTATTCAGAAACTCTTTTCAAGACCCTAACGATGCTTCAGGAGTGGACCCCACTGTGAGTCCCAACCCCGACTTTGGGAATAACTGCATTAGATCATCTAAAGTTGCGTAACATCAGAGCAGAAACTGTGGGATAAATCTTGTGCCAGCAGGAATTGAATTAGTATTGCTCAGATTGAATCTGAATGTGCATTATTTGAAATTGAACGCATTGGTTTGAAAATAAGTTTCACTAAATTTAAACTGAATTTAATGGTTTGAAACTGAATTTAAAGTTTTGATTTTGAATTAATTTGMTTTGAAACTGTATTTTGGTTTGTTAAAAATTCAGTTAGACTACTTTCACTTTCAGTTCCAAAATTCAGATTTTTGTGTCACACATCCTGGTCTTTAAGAAAGCCAGCCAGATTAATCAAACACAGATCCACAGATTTCTATTGTGCAAAAACTGACAGTTATTTTATTGCAGTGATTAATTTTACCTATAGAAAATGTTATKTTTAAATCACACCATGGATCAGTCAGCAGCAGCATCTGATCAATATTGGATTAGATTAGATTAGACCTTTATTGTCATTGTACAGAGCACAATGAAATTACMGTTCAGAACACCCATTCAGAAGAAGACAAAGCATAACAAACATAGGAGAACAGGTGCCCTGGGTCATGCTGCCRCTGACCCTGCACAGAGCAAGGATCATCTTCATGAAGACATCATGAGGAGGCTCAACCCTTAACAGAAAAACTAAAAACCACACAAGGGAATATGAGGGGGAAAAACATCATATTATATCAACAATGTGACACACTATGGTGTTTATAAAAAACCTCTGCATAGAGCACATTTATTAGCCAGAGGAGTAAGTGAGTTTAGGTGGGCATTTATCTGAAGCCATGAGTGTTGTGATGTAAATGTAACATTTTCCACATACAGGTAAAATTAATCACTGCAATAAAATAACTGTTTTTGTCACTTTTACGGTGGATTGCTTCAATTCTGTTACATACAGAAGGCCAGCTTCACTGAAGTGAAACAAATCCGTTGATCTGTGTTTGATTACTCTGGCTGACTTTCTCAAGGACCAGGATGTGTGACACAAAAATCTGATTTTTGGAACAGAAAGTGAAAKTAGTCTAACAGAATTATTAATAAACCAAAATACAGTTTCAAAGCAAATTAATTCAGATACAAAACTTTAAATTCAGTTTCAATTTAGTSAAATTCATTTTCAAACCAATGCATTCAATTTCAAATTATGCACATAYAGARTCAATCAGAGCAATTCAAATTCAATTCCTRCTGGTACAAGAYTTATCCCATAARAAACCATAYCAGCATTTAAAAGCTTCTTTTAGAATTTAAAAATCATTTCAACTAAACTAGGTCAAAAGTTAATATTAACTTTTATTACAACATTTGAAAATGTAAAACATCTTTGTATCCCATATTAATGGAAGTCATGGTACTTATTGTGAATCAGATGCAAAGCTAGCAAAAATAACGTTTTAACTTTTCTCTTATGGGAAAACATTCACTAAAACACTAATGTATGAAAGCAGATACCGAGCAAAAATAAAATAATGTACGATTATCATTCTAACGATGTATTTTAACAGTATAACAAAGAATGTTAACACAATATCATTTTAACATTGTGTTGTGTTGCAGTTTAGATTCTACTGATGCTTCAGTCAGTTTTACAGATTTGGTTTATTGTAATATTGTGTATAGTAAGTTGAAAATATATTTTATCATTGCGTGATGAATACAGTAGAAAAACATTAAAACTAATGGGAAAAAGAGATTTTTGTTTTTTACATTAAGAAAGTTTTTGTACTAACCTGCCTGAGTCAGTAAAACCTGAACTGCAACCCAGGTTTAACAAGTCCAAACTTTATTTTTTATTATTTTGACTTTTATGGTACAAACACATTTCTCTGCTATCATTAATGGGGTTTTAAACAAAGCAAAAGCTTTACAGTTTTTCAAGTTAAAAGTACTTAAACACAAATAAATGGCCTCTAATTTTACTCTTAAGCCATGTTAGTCATTTTAGATGTTGCTGTGATTTTCCTCCATCTGCTGTCTCCACTTATTTCAGTCGAACACTATGAGAACCGTTTTGATGTGATTTGTGTAGAAGTTAGTACAGAAAAAACCCAGGCGGGAAATCCTCGCCCACCATGATGTCTACCTTTTTATTGACTTTATTCTTTTTTTGTCATTGTAAAGTGAATATCTTTTGTATTTATTTATCAGTAGCCTGTTCTGCACACGTCAAGATGATAAGTGTGGTGAATGTTTGAGGAATTTGTTTTTGAGTGTGTTGAATGGATTTACAGAAATAACAGAGTCTTTTTTTAAAGAGGTGACGTGCATTCACCGGAATTTGTTTTAGAGGTGCACGAGAGAATGGTTGAATATATTTTGTTCTGTTTATTGGAGTTGACAGGAGGAGTCCCGTACGGACATTTTCAGTGCAACTTTACTGTAGAATCAGTCCGTTTATTGTGCCGAGAGATGGAGTTACTCGTGAATGTTTGCTAGCAGCACACCTGGCACTTTGTATGAAACCTACCTTTAAATTCTTGTAATGGTTTGTCATTGACCGTTTGTCTTCTCTGGTGTGAGACTCAGTATTTGTGTTCTGAAACCTGTACATTGTGCGCAATGACTGATTAAAGAGTTCCAACATATTTGAGCCCAAAATTATCAAGGTTTTTAATGTCTATTCTTTGTGTTTTGTGGCTTCTGATGCTTTTTTGTGAGTATTGATGTAACTCTTTCCTCAGTGTCAAGCATTGTCAGCCACCCTGAATGTTTTATTAAAGACATTTCAATGTGCTTTTGTCAAATATATTCTCCCGTTTCATGTTTTTTTTTAATATTCGTTTATTCAGATAAGTGCTTATAGTTTTTTTAAAAAACAAATTTAAAGGAGGGTGTTTTGTATTTTCCAGACACATTCCTCAATTCTAGACCACAATCTATTCTACCTTCRGTTGTAAAATGCTGTATRTATCAAAAAGAAAAAACTTGTATAGGTCTTCTGGRCRGGTTCTTCTCCAATGAAACGTTTCGTCTCTCCTCCAAGAGACTTCTTCAGGTATGTTMTTCYGTATGTTGCGGGTGTTTCGGAGAAACAGACGTTTATTTTCTAAACGTGATGTCCCAGTGGCTTTCAAACCCCAAAACACATTACGGCAAAGGCTGGTTCACCCCAAAGATCCGGTTCCCCCAGCACAAACAGAGCAATGTTGTATATGCTGTTAAGTGCCAGGAGGACTGCGACCAGTTATACATCGGGGAAACAAAGCAACCACTGTTCAAAAGAATGTCCCAACACAGACGAGCTACATCTAATGGCCAGAACTCTGCAGTTTTCACTCATTTACAGGCCAGCGGTCACTCTTTCAGAGATGAGGATGTTCTCATTCTTGATAGAGAGGAACGTTGGTTTGAGAGAGGAGTAAAAGAAGCCATTTTTGTGAAGAAAGACCGTCCATCATTAAACAGAGGTGGAGACCTCCGTTTTCAGTTGTCCCCCTCCTGCAGTACGGCTATTGCCAGTATCACTCCACCCCCTGTTAACAATAGTTGTTAATTAGGTGTCAACGATAGCCATGTGATGTGAGTATCAGTCACATGGAAGCAGGACTTAAAAGCCTGAATTTTGCCTGAAACTCTCAGACTGAAGAAGTCTCTTGGAGGAGAGACGAAAYGTTTCATTAGAGAAGAACCCGTCCAGAAGACCTATACAATTTTTTTCTTTTTGATTTTTTACCTGGATTACTGAGATGCATCAGGACATTTCAAAAATACATTGATTTCGCATAATAGCCTCTCTAAATGGCTTGAAATTGGCCTGTCTCTTGACACTCCCACCTCAGCACATTTTCAAACAATCCTTCAGGGGAGGTCTGCTCTGTGGGGCAGGAGCTGGGCTGCAGACTGAGCTCCAGGGAGGAGCTTGGTACAAAAAGGCGGAGCTTTGTACCAGCAAGTCTTCAGGCAGCTCTACGTGGCTACGGGAAATTCAAGGATTTCTAAAACATGTATGAACAAGTCAAAGCAACACTCTGAGTGTATTTTTGATGAGAGAATGACATTAATAACATGGTAAAAACTGAAGCAGTCAAATACAGTATTAAAAAAATCAATTTAATTTGAAAATTACACAGTTTCTTGTCAGTAGTACTGCTGTTCTTCACTAACACAAGCACAATGATGTTCCCATGTTGGTTTGCTTCTGGCTCTGGCACTCATCTGGAGAAATTGGGGATGTGCTTCAGGGTTTGTCTCACTCGAACAAACTCTGGTACATTCTGCAGACTTTCCCTCCACTTCTTCTCTTCCAGCTCATACTGGAAAACATAGCAATAAAAAAGTAAATTTTACTTCATAGATTTAAATGCCAATCACACAAACAGCTCCAGAAGAACCAACTTATTTAGGGGCTAAAAGATTTGATTAAAGGGGACATATCGTGTAAAATCCACCTTGTAAATTTTGTTGTGTACTTGGAGTCTCTGGGACCGCAGAAAAGTTGAATTTAGTCTCTCCTGGTGCTGCGTAGATATCTTTATATTCTGTTTTGGGTTGTATTTTTCAACCTGTTCAGTTTTCTCTATTCTCTCTGGTGTTTTCTGAACTATTAGGTCACGGTTTTTGTGACGGAACATCTAAATAAGGTCTGAACTTACCAAACAATATTTAGTCTTCATTCTCCTGTGGCTCTGGGTCAGACTCTGGCTCCAACATGTAAGGCTGGATGGACAAGTTTTCTGTTGTTGACAACTTTTAATCAACTTGTAAATAAAACACCAATGTGCTACTATGTACTGCTTTAGAAGCTGGGGCAGGGGTGTGTGAAGTGCCTCATTTGTATTTAAAGAGACAGCCTTAAAACGAGTTGATCTGACACACCTCAGAAAAGAGGTGAAAGAGGGGCTTGTGGAGTTATAATAAGGAGGAATTCAGACCAAAGCAATAAGTTCTACTTTATATAGACCCCAACTGAATGATTTAAATGTGAAAAAGGATTTAAAGCATATGTCTAAACAGTTGATATGTCTTCTTTGAACAAACACAGTTCAACCAAATAGTTTGATTCTGACTGGACTGATAGACGAACGGCTTGTCAGAACAAGAACAAAGTGTATTGTTTCCATTTCACAACAACTCTACTCTCAACAAAAATAAGCAATTGATCCAAATGCTGTTCTATAAACCTGAATAGCTGCATTACAGTCATTTTCATGGAATTCTATTGTTATTTTAAAGTGCAAAAAKAAGCAGCAGCAGCTAGTTGCAGCTGGCACAGCCTGGGTGATTTCTATTTGGAAATGAATAAAAAGAATAAACTGTTCAAATGAAAGTTACTGAAATAACGATCTACCACAGGTAAGATATTAGTTGTACCTTTTCACAAAAGCCTTATTTCATGTGAACTATGCCTTGAAGGTATCTCACAAGTTAACCAAGTTTCTTAACTTGTAAACCTACAAGTTGTATTTTCTGCTGTCTTCTGTGAAGTTTCATCTCCAAGTCAGAGGCAGGCTGGAGCTCCCTTTTCTTCAGCTGCTCCCTCCTTTTGTTTTCGAGCACACATTGCAACTCTGGCTTTCTTCTTGGCAGCACACCTCTGAGGACATGATGAAATATTGATGAAGGTTAGGATGTCCGGATTACGATGAAGAACAGAGGAAAAATAAAAATCCACAAAGCTTAGGTCACATGAAAGTGACTTATAATGGTTAACATTAAGACTTCTGCTGGCAGGTTGGGAATGTTTAGGAGGATTTTGACTCAGTAAAAGCTGAACATATTGTGTTTATCTGTGGTCTGGATCGGCTGGACTGGGGAGGCCTAAGAGGATTCACTAACTGAAGGAAGGGGGGGACTGGAGCTGTCACTGCTTTATGGCTGCCATTATAACCCATTTTTACAACAAGCCCTAAAAATACAAAATACCTGAAGGTTTTGAGTAACCAAGCTACTATAATAGGCAATAAAACCAGCCGAATTACATTAATATCATGGTTCTGAAAGAAATGCTAAAAATAAGTCAAMATTTACAGGGACTACGCCTTTCTGTGAGGAATGTTTGCACCTGGTGCAGCTYACCTGCTGCAGATTGTTGGCAAAAAACATTTTCTCACCGTCTGTGGCAGAATAGCAGCTCCTGATGAAGAGCTCTGTGCTGGAGCGACGCCAGCAGGGGGTTTATCAGCTTTTGTGGTTTGATGAGGTCATCTTCCTCCTGTTGTTGATTTTCAGTCACCTGCCGAGGCGAGTTCATCCAGCAGTGAGTTCTGTCTTGAACGCACAAGGACAAGTCAGGGTGTTCAGCCAGACGGACGGTGAAGGCTGCAGAATTACAACTATTGGATCAGACATACTGAGACGTAATTTTACATCAGCAAAATAAAATGACCTGGACTATTTTCTGATTTACTCTTACCCGTTTTGTTTTTGATGCCCATTTTTTGTGATATCTGAATAATAAAACAGAAGTCAGTCAGGGCAACGTTAGGGCAAATTTACAAAAACACAAATTTACAAAAACAATCTCCTAATTTATTAAAGAATCTCTACAAAATCAAGATTTTTTTGGAATATGCAATATAAACAGAAATTAAACCTAAAATGAATAAACCTTGGTTTTTAAGGTTTTATATTCAACACATAAATAATTAATGACCCCTTTTTCAGTTTTAACTAATTTTAAAATGTAATACTTGGCAAATTAAAACCTTCACTTTCGTCACTTTTCCTCTTTTCCTCTTCTTTGTTTTCTTTTTTCATCTCTGTGTCCATTATAATAAATTAATCCCAAAAGAATTTATAATAAAGGTTTAAATATAAATCAAGTGGAGCATCATGGTGAAATGCCATTTTGCTGCATTTGTGAAAATAAAACAGTTGGGCTTTGTTTGGACACTCAGACATCAATTCTAAGTTTCACATTGCCGGACAGGAAGGAAAAAAAACAAATAAACCTTGAATGTTTGTCTATTAGCTAAAACGGCTCTCCATAGGTGGAGGGGGGAATGCTCGGACGTTGTTGGTCTGGACAGGTTTTTGATTGAGATTTATTCTTAATCAACAAACTTTTATTTTTTTTTCCTCTCAGGGTGTTGTTCGTAATTAAAAACCCACTTTACACAGAAATACTTTTTTAAGTTTTATTGAAGCCATGTTGAATATTTTCACAAAGTAAAAAAATACACTTAAATAA